ATCTCCGTCGCACCTCGCTAGTATTCTTAATTCCCGAAAATTCTCTAATTCATTCTCCTTTTAAATATTCCTCAACCTCTTCTTGTTATAAAGAGCTTAACAGATCAAGTTTCTTTTCATTTCTCTAAACAATCTAAACCTAGTCAAACTTTATTTTTTCGATCTTTATAGTCATAGATTATAACTTCCATGTTGATGTCTTTTGAGACAAGCAAAGCAATCCGTTAAAACGATATCATTTACCATGTAGAGAAATTGTTAAATCTCTCAACGCTTTGTTAGCAAATTAAAAAGAATGACTATTATTCTCGGAAATACTCTATTTTGGGAAAAAGATTGAAAAATGATTAATGTCAGCAATTAAATTCTTGCTAAATTGCTTATTTTTGCTAATTTTACTAATCTTTTTAATCGCTCGAATTATTTACTGAAAATTTTGGGGCAAAGAACAAAAATAACAAGAAAAAAAGCATAAAGAAAGAGAGAAAAAAACCGCACTCACATTCACAATTTATCCTCCCTGCTCGCTTAAAAATAAAACTTGACAAAAAAGTTTTAGAAAAAAGCCTCAAAACCCAAGAAAAAGGTTATTTCTGATACCAATACTTAATTTTTTCAATAGCACAACCTTTCACAAAAACTAACTTGGATTTGGGCCAATCAGGCTGAACCTTGGGGTTTTATCACTGCTTTGTTTTTATGGCAAACCTGACAAGAGTACTCAACTCTTAATTTTTGACCGAGGTTAATTATTTTTTTCATATACTCAAAACAAAAATAAAAAATTTATTTTCTGAAAAAAATAAACTTGGCAAAAATGTTGAATATGATTTGGTAAGTAAAAACTTAAAAATAACTTATAAAATTATGAAAAAAGAACTAAATCAAAAAAAACCAGTTAAACTTCCGCCTATTCACCCTGGCGAAATCTTGCGGGAGGAATTATTAATCCCTCGCAACATTAGCCCCCAAGAATTAGCCCAATCTTTAAAGGTTCCCAAAGAACAAATTCAATGGGTATGTGAAGAAAGAGGCGACATTACTCCGGATTTGGCTACTCGTTTATCTATTTATTTTGATAGCACTGTGGAATTTTGGCTAAA